TATATTATTATATAACAAAAATTCTATTTATGGTTTCACCCATTTGTATGAACCATAATAAGCGAAATTATTTTCCTTTGCCATTTCATCTGCTTCTTTGGGTCCTCGTGAACCATATCTAAATTTTTAATAAAATTATTATTATTTAAATTATTATTTGAAAAAATAAGAATACTTTTAATTGTTAAAAATGTAACTTACGTGTACGGAATTGGTTTAATTCTTTCGTTTTCTATTTGATGAAGCAAGGGCGTAAAAATTCTCCATGCTTGCGAAAGTTCATCATTACGTACAAAATGCATTTGCGAGCCACAAAATACATCCAAAATTAATCGTTCGTATGCATCCGGAAGTTTTAGATCCTATATAATTAATGTATTAACATAATATTCCTAAACTTCATATATACTCTTAAATACTTCTAAATACTTCTAAACTTGCCTTATATCTAGAACCATATGTAAGATCTAATTCTGTTTCTTCCATATCGAATGTAATACCAGGTGATTTCGTCATCATTTTAATATATAATGCTTCACCTGGTTGTACTCTAATTACCAATTCATTTCTCTTCGCTTTTCCATCAAATATATCGCCAGGTACATCCTGATATTGTATTCTAACTTCTGCCTTTCGTTCATTTAAAGCTGAGAATAATATACTTGTATATTCCACATTATTATTATTATTAATATTTCATATTATTAACAAAATTAATTATATACATATTAAGAATTATTTTTTATATATTAATATATCTATTTTACCTTTTCCACATTTGAGGATAAACGGAACACCATCCCACCGCTCGTTATTAATTTTCAGCACAGCAAGGGAATATGTGGGCGTAATTGAACCGGAAGGTACAGTAGCATCATCCAAATAGCCAAGTCGAGCATCAGGATTATCGGATTCAGGATCACCAATATATTGACCTAATACAACATCGTCCAGCGTCAAAGTCTTTATGCACTTTAACACTTTTACCTTCTCATCTCGTATATCATCCGGATGACAAGACGCTGGCTTCTCCATCGCAACCAATGACAAGATTTGTAATAAATGATTCTGCATGACGTCCCTAATGATACCAAATTCGTCGAAGTAACCGCCTCTTCCTTGCGTACCAAATGGTTCTTTAAATGTAATTTGTACAGAGGCCACATTATCCCTATTCCATGTTGGACTGAATATTCGATTACCAAATCGTAGAGTCATTAAATTTTGAACCATTTCTTTTCCCAAATAATGATCGATACGATAAATCTGATCTTCTCTGAATAAGGATGCGAGATGATCGGACAAAATTTGTGACGTAGCCGCGTCGCGACCGAATGGTTTTTCTATAATTATTCTGGTCCATCCTCTTTAAAAAATAATATACCTAATATATATGATGTTAATCTTAATATAAATTTTAAAGCAATTTTAAAATATGTAATAATACTTACTTATCACTCATACAAATATTCCTAATATGCACGGTTACATTTTCAAATACACTCGGTGGTAAGGCCAAGTAAAACAATCTATTAGTAATATTGTAGCCTTCCTCATATTTCTTCAATTCATTATTTAATACTTCAAATCCTTTTTGCGAATTATACTGACCAGTCACGTAGTAATTTAATTTCCAAAATTCTTCATATTTTTTCTCCTCATCCGATTTTACTTTCATATATGGATGACATTTTGCTCGTAATTGGTTCACAGACATATTTGTACGTGCGTAACCAAAGAATGTGGTAGTTTTTGGTAAAAGATTATCCCTAAACAACCACCATAGCGTTGGATAGATTTTTTTCTTTGCTAAGTCACCCTAAAATTTACCATAAAATTTATCGGTTAAAATTATTTAACATTTGATTTTGATAGTTATATAGGAAAAAAAAATAAAATAAAATAAAATTTTACATACAGAAGCTCCTAGTGTTACAAACACATGAGGATAATTTCGATCAAAATGAATTCCTTCGAGATGATCCATTTCTTCCGATTTCAACGACTGTCTGATGAAATGCAGACTCTCTTCAGTAGACGTTTCTAAGATACAAAAGGATTATTTTAAAATTATCCATATTAAAATTTAAAAATAATTATTTGTTTATTTTATATTATTTATAGTCAACGAATTTAAATGTGTGAAAATTAATTTGAACTTTGTACATTTAATAACGCATCTTTATTAAGGAATATTAAATATAATTGGACAAATATTTACTTTCAAGATAAAATAATAAAAGAGAAATCTTTTTTAATAAAATTTTTAATCTAACTTTATAAAAAGGAAAATGAATTTGAAAATCGCATAAGATTGAATTCAAAATATGAATATAAATATAGAAAAATTAGGAATATTATAATATATAAATTTACGAATGAAGAATAAAATTGAAAGTACAAAGTCATTTTCGAATTCGTTGAATAGAAATTGATATATTTCCTATCATGAATTAATTAAATACGTAAATAGAAATTTAAATGAATTTTAATTACAAAGGTACACTAATGTTGCACACTAATCGAAGTTAAAAGAAAAGTATCTTGTTCTTTTTATTAATATATAAATCTTTATCTTTCTTCAAATATTTTTAAATCTTTAATCTTTTCCTTTTTTAAATCTTTCAAATCTTAGATAAGTTTAAAATAAAATCATGCGATAAGTTATTGAACATGTTAAAGTATAGTAATTATATAACAAAGATTTAAGATAATAGAAAAAAATCAAACAATTAAAATCATATAAAAGATATTTTTTTTTTATTTCATAAAATTTCTTGGTTTAATCAAATATTTAAAAAAACGCAAAAAAAAATGCAATATTAAATTAAATTTAACATTGTATTGATGTCATCAAACATAAAAAATTTATGCCGAATGTCTGTATTTAGCAATATGCATTTATTATTCAAACTAATTTCCATAAATCTTATATAACAACAAAAAGTTATTCATATCATCAAAGGTATTATCAAATATAATATAAAAAACGCGCGAATGTATTACTATATATTAAAACTTAAAACGTTAATAATTACATCGATAAAAATATTAAAAAACGAAAACAAGAAGAAACTATCACATTAAACAATATAAAAATCCAAATCTTTTAAAAATTCAATATAAATTACGCATAAAATTTTTTTATATAATCCTCATTCAAAATTAGAGATTTCAGTTAAAGTATAAACTTCGAACGTAGTAGCTTATTGACTTATATTGCAGATAAATTAATAACTAGATAACAAAATGATTAAACTGAAAAATAATAACATTTTTTTTTATACATTGTTACGTTTGTTTTTCTTTAATATATAAAATTATTAAAAATCATATAAGTAATTTCTTCTTTTATCACTCATCTTTTTATAAATCACATTTTAATACACTTCATACACTGATAAAAAAAAGAAAAGAAATAAAAAAAAAATAATATAAACACATTTTAGGAAAACTTACTCATCATAGTTAATAAATTTTTAAATAATATTTATCGTAGAAAACCAAATTTTCCCCAGAAACGTGATCCGATGGAAAACTAAAACGACCGCCAAAAACCTACCGATTAGTTCAACTGTTTGACTCAGACTAATTGTGACGATCGATGCGATGACTATTTCACAGCCTCAGGAAAATACACACACGATTTTGAAATATAAATATACTTGAAAAATTCAAGGATATTTGTAAATTTCTTCTTTTTCTTTTTAATGCGTTATATTTTCAATATATACATACATATATATGTTTCAAAATACGCGATTGTTATGTGATTATGTGATTATTTCACTTATTATTATTTCTTAATGAAAAATATTCAATCTTGCTTGTTCTTTTCTTTTAAATTATGTATTTGTTTCAACAACTTTATATTTTATGTTTAAGAAAATTATTTATTTAAGAATTATTTTGATAAAAATTTTATTCTTCATCTATTTTTATATATAATTATAAGGGATAAGTATAAATGTATCTTGTAAAAACGCGATTGTCACATATTGTCAATGTACAATTACATAATTATGTAAGTATTTCCATTTTTTTATTACACTAAATTTCTTTTTTTATTCTGTAAATTAAGATTTTATGTTATGGTAAGTTTATTTACTTAATAGTTTTAATAATAATGATGAAAATTTTTAATTAACATAATTTTAATTATATTTTTTTTTCGAATTACAGTTAGTCTCGAAGACATATTAGAAACTGAATTAAGATTGGTAAGAAACGGCTATTTAAATATTCTGCTAGTTCATATTACTTGTTGAGCAGGTAGTGAAGGCAACGACGTGTTGTCTTGATGGTCAAGGTCACGTCGATTTAAAGTAGACAAAGACTAATTATTCAATTAGTAACGAATATCAAAATTTATATTTATATTATGTTTATCTTAAAAATATAAATATAAAATAAATCAAAAACTTAATCTTGAACCATTTTTTTAATCTATTTTTTTTATAAATTTAATAAAAATTATTCTAAAAATTTATTTCTTCGTTTCTAAAGTTTTATATTCAATACATCTTTTATAACAATGATTTATAATTAATAAATAAAATGTATATATATTTTTATGTATGCATGTATATATAAAATAGCTATATGTGTGAATGTCGTAAGTATGAGAACCAATGACTTTGCAAATAAAAAGTGATTCGTAATTCGTTGTCGTCCGATGTTGATCTTTGAATAACATAAGAAATTCTAATAGAATTTATTGAAATATTGATTTCTAACTAAAAAAAAAATATAATATAATATAATTTATGTATGGTCAATAAATATTTCAATAAATCAAAACAATAATAAAAATTTGATTTTTAAGTATAGATATGATAATGAGTATTTTAATTTATATTAATTTAATCAAAATTATATCTATATGCATTCGAAGCATACAAAAATATAATAGTAAATAAAATACAAATTTATAATAATAAATAAAATGAGTAATATTCGGATTAAAGAATATAAACGAGAAAAAAAAATTACATTTAAATATTAAAATAAAATATAATAATAATAAGTTACATTTTAAATTTTATATATTTTTCTATTAAATTATTAACAATAATTGTGAATTATCTTGTTATCATATAAAATTTTCTTTTTGTTAATATTTTTCTTATATCATAATATTATCATAGTATAAAATAATAATCAAATTTAGATTATAATATTACGAAGATTGTGTTATTATTTTTCATTAGTTTTATTATGATCTAAATAAGCTATAAAAAACATTAAACAATAAAATTTATTGTTAATAGGACTTTTATTCTATAAAGATATAAAAATAATATATTTTTCGTAAAAAGAATACATATTAAACAAATTTTATTTTAATCTAAAATATATGTAACTGATAAGTTTTTTCGTGCATTTATCAACAGCAAACACGTGATAATAAAATCGCGCGATCCGTAACATGATGGTTTAATATAATCACAAATATACATAATTTTATAATATTATTATAACTTATTTAATATTTTTCATACATTTGTAATTTAATAAATTTTTCTAAATCAATTTCTACTTAAATTATATACTTATTTCATTTTTATATTATAAAATATTATATTATAAAATACATATATATATATATATATATATATATATATATATATAT